AGGCTCACACCCTTATTCAAACACAGATTAAGACAGGATTTGTGAAGGAAGAGACAATGGGGAGGCTTTTCCATTTTTACCATGCAGAGAAACATTTGCTCAGTTTAGGAATCAAAATGGTTCCAGGTTGGCTTTCCTGTGCTGATCTATGTACGTGTGGTTATGAACGTTGCCATATATCTAAAACCATAAAATTCCTATCACACACACAGAGACAATCATTATTATCTCATATCAAAAACTGGGAGAGGGTCTCTTAGTACAGCCCTCCAGTGCACACTAGCGACCAAAATTGTGGAACCTTCTGGACAAAATGTATTTCTGAGGTTTGATGGCTCATGACACCACTTTGTTTTGGAGTAATACCAAGGCTTTTTCTGTGGGGACGCATACCCCTAAACATTTTGTGAATTTAACAGGAGAAGAAATTCACTGTATTTATTTTCCCAGTTTGAACCGTATTTATTCCCCCCCCCCCCGGTGGTGATTTTCTTGAGTCCAAATGACAGTACCCTAAACATTTTTTTAAGAAAAAGAGCACTGAGTTATACCATAAAATCATGTATCAATGGAAATATAATTTAATGAGGAATGTAATGCAATAGTTTTTATGAAGGACTGTTTATTACAACAGCAGTTAGAAAGAAGAAACGTGAAAACACAGGAAAAATGAGATACGCAGGTTAAATTGCCGCGTTGACCCTTTGCGATAAAATAAATGTGTTTGGGTTTGTAAAAGGTTCGCCATCACTGCGCTAGAAGGAAAGCAAAGTAGGGGGGGGCGTCCCCCAAAAAGCATCTCTGGAAGTGGGAAAGAAAGAAAAACGCGGAGGGGAGAGATGGGCACGCTGGGCTTGGCAAGGGTTAAAGGGAACCGAGCTGCCTTCCTAGAGAGGCAGGAAGCAAGGGGGGGCCAGGTCCTCCAGAGCCAAGGCCCCTCCCTAAAAAGGAATGCTGTGATCACCAATAGTCAGCATGGATTTCTGAAAAATAAGTCATGTCAGACTAACCTGATCTCGTTTTTTGACAGAATTACAAGCCTGGTAGATGAAGGGAACGCAGTGGATGTAGCCTACCTTGATTTCAGCAAGGCATTTGACAAGGTGCCCCATGATATTCTTGTAAAGAAGCTGGTAAAATGTGGTCTTGACTATGCTACCACTCAGTGGATTTGTAACTGGCTGACTGACCGAACCCCAAGGGTGCTCATCAATGGTTCCTCTTCATCCTGGAGAAGAGTGACTAGTGGGGTGCCACAGGGTTCTGTCTTGGGCCCGGTCTTATTCAACATCTTTATCAACGACTTGGATGATGGACTCAAGGGCATCCTGATCAAATTTGCAGATAACACCAAACTGGGAAGGGTGGCTAACATCCCAGAGGACAGGATCACACTTCAAAACGACCTTGGCAGATTAGAGAACTGGGCCAAAACAAACAAGATGAATTTTAACAGGGAGAAATGTAAAGTATTGCACTTGGGCAAAAAAAATGAGAGGCACAAATACAAGATGGGTGACACCTGGCTTGAGAGCAGTACATGTGAAAAGGATCTAGGAGTCTTGGTTGACCACAAACTTGACATGAGCCAACAGTGTGACGTGGCAGCTAAAAAAGCCAATGCAATTCTGGGCTGCATCAATAGGAGTATAGCATCTAGATCAAGGGAAGTAATAGTGCCACTGTATTCTGCTCTGGTCAGACCTCACCTGGAGTACTGTGTCCAGTTCTGGGCACCACAGTTCAAGAACGACACTGACAAACTGGAATGTGTCCAGAAGAGGGCAACCAAAATGGTCAAAGGCCTGGAAACGATGCCTTATGAGGAACAGCTAAGGGAGCTGGGCATGTTTAGCCTGGAGAAGAGGAGGTTAAGGGGTGATATGATAGCCATGTTCAAATATATAAAAGGATGTCACATAGAGGAGGGAGAAAGGTTGTTTTCTGCTGCTCCAGAGAAGCGGACACGGAGCAATGGATCCAAACTACAAGAAAGAAGATTCCACCTAAACATTAGGAAGAACTTCCTGACAGTAAGAGCTGTTTGACAGTGGAATTTGCTGCCAAGGAGTGTGGTGGAGTCTCCTTCTTTGGAGGTCTTTAAGCAGAGGCTTGACAACCATATGTCAGGAGTGCTCTGATGGTGTTTCCTGCTTGGCAGGGGGTTGGACTCGATGGCCCTTGTGGTCTCTTCCAACTCTATGATTCTATGATACTTTTGTATATTAGCATAACAAGCATGCATAAGAATTATTAGACAGAAAAAGCATGCACAAGAAAGTATTACTCATTTATGATGAGAATGGGATTTATTAATTTTGAACTTTGCTTGGTTCCTCCTTGGCAGCCAGTGCGATTGTTTCAGCAGGGCTAGAACTCAGGACCCGCTGCCTTGAGGGACATCTAAGAGCAGTTGGGCAGGGAAAGGTCTCCCTTGGGAGGTGGTGGACTCTCCTTCCTTGGAGGTTTCTGAGCAGAGATCGGACGGCCATCTGCCATGGATGCTTTAGCTGAGATTCCTGCATTGCTGGGGGTTGGACTAGATGACCCTAGGATCCCCTCCTATCTCTCCACTCCTGAATTCTAGGAGGAGCTTCCTTGCCTCCTGCAAAGCCCCTTTTCCTGCAAGATGTTCCGCTGGTTTCTGGCCAAGGGAGGGAGATGCTCAGAGTCCAGCCAAGAGCCTCACCCCCAAAGGATATCTGGGCATTGGCGTAGCCAGGGGGGGCAGCTGGCCCCCTAAATCCATAAAAATTAATAGAAATCTGAGGTTCTGCCAAGCGAGAGAGGGCTGAGCCGGGTGGACTCGGCTTGGCAAGGGTTAAAGGGAAGTGAGCTGCCTTCCTAGAGAGGCCAGGAAGCAAGGGGGGCAGGTCCTCCAGAGCCAAGGCCCCTCCCTCCCCAGTCCTTTCCTGCTTTGGTGTCTCTGCTGCAAGGCTTCCTCTGCTTCCTGCCTCGCTCTCCCCTCCTGGGATCTGGTGAGTCTCCTCTCTCTCTGGGATCTGGTGGGGGTCTCAGGGCTGCAGCAGGGGAGGGGGCCTGGGGGGCCTGATCTGCTCCTGCAGGGGGGGGACCCCAAGTCAGGGAGGAGAGGGTCCTGCCAGGGAGGGGCCAGGTCTGCCACGCTCTCCTTCCTGCAGATCAGAGGATCCCAAACTCATTTGACCCTCCGCCCCCCCCCCTTTCAGAAAAGATCTCCCTTCTTTAAACAAAGGAGTCCCTGGGACTTTAACTCTGTGTGACATCGCTCAGCCTCATTGCACAACAGAGGAAACATCTGCAAATGGTTTTCCAAAGCTGGAGGAGGAGGTGGACTAGCCCCCCCCCAAAAAAAAAAGGTGGGAGAGAAAGGCCAGAAATAAAGAGAGGGATCCCAGCCCAGAGTCCGGTTGCTGCACTGGGGACCAGTTTCCCGGTGTCTTCAAGGGCAGCTCGCCACGGAGGCCACTGCAGCAATCCCCTCGTGTTAAGCTATCTAATAGAATAATCATAATAAATTACCTGCCTAAATTTCAAGGGAGAGGTATTTGGCCCCGGCCACTTGGCCCTCAGGGGGTTGGCCAGGTGCATACCTGGCCCTCAGACCACAGAAAAAGGGACCCCACCCCAGGAGTCTGTCCTGAGAGTGGCAGAGAGTCCAAGTGCAAGAAAAGGAAACAGAAACAGGGGAGTGGGGGTGGGGGGAGCAACTCCTGAGGACCTCCAGGTGAGGACCCCCACTAGAGCCAAACATCCATTTTTCACAAGATACAAATGACTTCCTTGTCAGTCAGATCTGACTTGGAAGGCAGGAGCAACCAGACTGATTCATCTCCCAGAAATCCCTTCAGTTGCCTCCACATTTTGCATTGCAATCTTTCTTCTAGGAGAGCTAGAGGCTGCTTCCTCCTCCTCCTCCTCCTCTTCCTCCTCCTCCTCTTTCTTCTCCTTTTTGGAAAGGCCCTTTCCACCTGGCCTAGGGGTGAGGCCCAGACTCACCCAGCCCTACTGTGTTAAATATGTATTCTGTAGTTGACCTCCTTTGTAATGTTTTATTTTGCAATCTTTAAGATAATAATTGTTTTCTGTTATGTTGCTTTGACTATCGACTATATAATTGACTTTCTTCAGATGGTATTATTTCTGTTTTATTGATTTTGTGGGATGTGAAACTGCAGTCAAGTACAACATTCCTACAGGGGACACATTAAGGGATGTTTTCTACCACTCAGGAGAAGACTTCCTGTTTCCGCCTGAGCTGGGACAGACTTCCACTACATGTGACTTGAAGAGGGTGCAGTCTGTTGTACTAGCATGGAGGAGCACACGGCCTCCATCTTCTGATCAGTGTGTCTTCTCCATTTTGTATGTTGCTGTGTGTTTGGGGAAGTGACTCCTTAGTGGCAGTCATTTGGGACTAACTTCTTTATGGAATAGTTCTAGTTGTTATGTAACAACCTGAACGAATCTGTGAGTAAACTACTTTTATATTAACGTGAATCAGATTATTGTGCTTATTCATTTAAGAGGGATTGGAAGGGATTTTACCAGGAAGGAATCTTTAATAGTAAGACTCAGATGAGTCAGCAACAAGCTGATCGCTGCGTAATCTAAAAAAGGGGGATGTATGGAACTCTGCTAGAATATGGAACTTGCTAGTGCATGTTAGGAAGGATATCGTTCAATAATATATCCTCTTCTAACTCCCTAATTATCCCCACATATTTAATATGCTGTAAACCGCTTTGAGATTTCTCTTTAAAATATAAAGTGCTATAGAAATTTAAATAAATAAGATAGCTCATGGTTTGGGCTGTGGTGCAGTCCAGCCCTGGTTCCCTCCAAGACTCATCCATGCTTGCTCAGGGAACCTTTTTCTTCTCCTGATATTAGACAACTTTTGTAACTGAACAATGTATTTGCTTTGTAGGATTTGCTAGAGCTTCTCATTAAGACGGACAGAACCTGGCAGAAGACCAAAGGGTTCCTTCCGATCTCTCAGAGGCTTCCTGAGAGCACAGATGGATGAGCAAGACTCAGCTGGCCCTGGAACAGGAAGAGGCCATGCCAACCAAACTGGGAGCAGTGGGGGATTCTGGGAAAACTCTGTGCAGAAGATCCTGGGTGAGGAGGACACCCTCCGCTCAGAGGTGCAGAGCCAGCAGGTGAGGCAGTTCTGCTGCCAGGAGGCCAAAGGACCCCGAGAGGTTTGCAGCCGACTCTACCACCTTGACCATCAGTGGCTGAAGCCAGAAAGGCACACGAAAGCTGAGATGCTGGACCTGGTGATCTTGGAGCAGTTCCTGGCTGTCCTTCCACCAGAGATGGAGAGCTGGGTGAGGGACTGTGGAGCGGAGACCAGTTCCCAGGCGGTGGCCCTGGCCGAAGGTTTCCTCCTGAGTCAGGCAGAGGAGAGAAAGCAGGTGAGAGAGACTTTCCTCTGGATACTCCCAAGGGGCTCCAAACAGGACAGAGAACATCCCATAATTGTCTGCTGATGGCCTATTCTTTTTCTGCAAGGCATCCATGTAATGAGATCTAACACCCTTCAGGTTTTTGGCGCTGACATTCATTTTATAATCCTTCTCCCCATTCTCTGTTTTGAATCCTTGTTTCTTTCTCAGGGAAAGGATCTCTTTGCAGAAATGGACCTGGATTCCTGTGAGGCAGAGAGGCCTCCGTTGGACACCAGAGAGAGGCCACTGGGTAAGGAGGAAGGAGTTTTTTCTCTGTTTAATAATAATAATAATAATAATAATAATAATTTTTATTTATACCCCGCCCTCTCCAGCCAAGGCCGGGCTCAGGGCGGCTAACAAGCAATAATAAAAACAAGTTGAATGATTACAACTTAAAAACAAAATTAAAATACAACATTAAAATATTGAAACATTAAAATATTAAAATCTCATTTAGTTTAGTTTAGTCTCATTCTGCTGGTTTTCCCAACTCATCTGTGGGTTTTTTCCATATTTTGTTGGGGGAGATAGTTGGGACCAAGAGCCCAGAGGAGGGGAGATATATTTTTTTCACAACTAATATCTGAAATGCACCCAAATATCCAAATGCACTCAGCAGGCGAGACTTTCTCAAAGGCCCCTGTGTAGTTTGAGATGCACTGATTAACCTGTGAGAGAAGCAAGCACTCTGGGCCTCCCCCTTACCTTTTTCCTCTTGCAGGTGACAGAATGATGCCCGCAAGACCTCTTCATCCATCTTTTCTTAGGGAGAGAATGGAAGCAGGGGCTGTGGATCCAGATCAGGTCAGGGGAAGCTGCCTTGTGGGGACAGAGGCCAAGGGGTGGAACAATGTCCTAGCTCAAGGAGTGGTGGTGAACAACAGTGTTGTCTCAGAGGAGGACATTTCCCTTTTTTCTTTCAGGGTCCAGTGTGCTTTGAAGATGTCGCTGTTCGTTTCACGGACGAAGAGTGGGCGTTGCTGGATCCTGACCAGAGAGCTCTGCATAAAGATGTCATGGAGGAGAATCATGGGATCGTGGCCACTCTTGGTAAGGATCCCTTTGGAATCATAATCATCTGTTTTTAAATTCAAAACAGCTCTCTGTGATGAACCTCATATATTTTCACAGAACTCAACAGCGCCCCCTTAAGACTCCTGGGATTACAATATTGCAGCTTCTAAACAAGGATCAGTCTGGTCTGAACTCCCCAAACCATTTTAACTTTTAACACAGGTTCCCCTAAGGATGTCGGTTGCTCCCCGTTAATAAATGCACCCAACCCTTCAGAAAACCATCCATCTAACCCACTTGTGTTATTCCTCTATTACCAGGGTTAACAAGTATTCTTCCTTAATTTGTCCCTGAGGCACTAATCCATTTCTCTTCATTGCAGATAGTGATGGACTGGAAATCAAGGACAAGGGTGACCATGACAAAATCCCCACAATGGAGAAGCTGTATAAATATCTTGAAAGTGGGAAAAGTTCCAATTCCACTTCCCATCAAGGAAATCTCATTGGGAAGAAACCCTATCACTGTGTGGAATGTGGCAAGAGCTTCAGGAAGAGCTCCGATCTCACTTCCCATCAAAGAATTCATACAGGGGAGAAACCCTATCAGTGTGTGGAATGTGGAAAGAGCTTTGGTCAGAGCTCCCATCTCACTAAGCATCAAAGAATTCATACAGGGGAGAAACCCTATCAGTGTGCAGAATGTGGAAAAAGCTTCAGGAATAGCTCCCATCTCACTAAGCATCAAAGAATTCATACAGGGGAGAAACCCTATCAGTGTGTGGAATGTGGAAAGAGTTTCAGTCAGAGAGTCAATCTCACTAATCATGAAAGAATTCATACAGGGGAGAAACCCTATCAGTGTGTGGAATGTGGAAAAAGCTTTGGTCAGAGCTCCCATCTCACTAAGCATCAAAGAATTCATACAGGGGAGAAACCCTATCAGTGTGCAGAATGTGGAAAAAGCTTCAGGAAAAGCTCCCATCTCACTAAGCATGAAAGAATTCATACAGGGGAGAAACCCTATCAGTGCTTGGAATGTGGAAAAAGCTTCAGTCAGAGCTCCATTCTCACTTCCCATCAAAGAATTCATACAGGGGAGAAACCCTATCAGTGTGGGGAATGTGGAAAGAGCTTCAGGAAAAAGTCCCATCTCACTTCCCATCAGAGAATTCATACAGGGGAGAAACCCTATCAGTGTGTGGCATGTGGAAAGAGCTTCAGTACAAGCTCTGATCTCACTAAGCACCAGAGAATTCATACAGGAGAGAAACCATATCAGTGTATGGAATGTGGAAAGAACTTCACTGATAGCTCCAATCTCACTTCCCATCACAGAATTCATACAGGTGAGAAACCCTATCAATGCTTGGAATGTGGAAAGAGCTTCAGGAGGAGCTGTAATCTCACTTCCCATCAAAGAATCCATACAAATTTCACAAAACCCTTCATTATACAGCTTTCAGTTCCAGTGAAAAGCTCAGCTCTTTAACCAGCCCTTTGGCTAATTAACATCTAACGCCCTTTTAAAATGTGGTGGGGAGGTGGGGGTTACAGGTTTTGGGGTGTGTGTTTTGTGTTTTCATTGTGTGATTTTATGTTGTGACCGTCCTTTGACCTGTGGGTGTAGGGAATGGGAGCCAACTCTTAGAGTCTGAGGGGTCTCTGCCCCCCAAATAAGATATGTGAGGGGGCCACCCCCCAGTTCATAGGAACAGCCATTCAAATGGCATGCTTGCACCGCATCCTGTGACTGTTTAACCGAGGCGGGGCTTACTAAACCTCTCCTATATTTTATTCCAGTTGGCACCCTTGCTATAGGGCGCTATAGAAGTCAAATAAATGCATAAATAAAACAAAACCATCTTGGTCGCCTTCTTTTGCACATGTTCCAGCTTGTCAATATCCTTATTATTATTATCATTTTAAAAAAAATTGTGCCCATCATCTGAAGATTTCATGGTGATTCACAACATAAACAGACAGGTTGAAAGCATGGCTTTGTCAAAAACAAGTCAAGCCAGAGAAATCTCTCTTTTTTCTTTTTCTTTTATTGGATGGAGTTACAGACTGTTTCTAAGGGGACTGCTGTGGAAATAATGCATCTCCATTTCAGTAAGGCTTTTGACCAAGTCCCCCGTGATATTTATGTGAGGAAGCTGGTAAAATGAGGCTGAACAAGGTAACTGTTAGGTGGATTTGACTGACCGATCCCAAAGAGGACTCCTTCATGGTTCCTCACCATCCTGGGGAAAAGTGACAAGAGGGGTGTTGCAGGGTTCTGTCCTGGGCCCGTTGTTGTTCAACGTCTTTATAAATGTCTTGGATGAAGGAACTTAGGGGATGCTCATCACATTTGCAGACGACACCAAAAGGGGAGCGGAGGCCAATGTGGCAGAATGCAGAATCAGATCAAGGGCAGGAATAGTACCACTTTCTTCTGCCTTGGTCAGACCCCACCTAGAATACTGTGTTCAATTCTGGGCTCCACAGTTTCAGTATCTTAAATTTTGTTTGCCAGGGGAAATCAAGAAGGTGAGGGAACACAATCCATATTCCTTTTATAACATGTGGCCAATTTTATTGAATATGTAAATTGTTAAAACTGTTGCTGGAATCCACCCAGCACGCATGGGGAGATGTGGCGTATCAGTGTGTGGAATGCGGAAAGCGTTTCAGCTTTAGCTCCTCTCTCGCTTCCCACCAAAGAATTCATACAGGGGAGAAACCCTATCAGTGTGTGGAATGTGGAAAAAGCTTCAGTAACAGCTCCAATCTCCGTTCCCATCAAAAAAATCATACGACGAGTGGAAAAAACCTTCATTCTGCAGCTTTAAGCGCCAGGGAAAAACGCACCTCTTTAACCAGGCCTTTGGCTGATTGACATCTAACTCTCTTTTAAAATGTGGTGGGGAGGTGGGGGTTACAGGTTTTGGGGTTTGTGTTTTCATATTGTGATTTTATGTTGTAACCATCTTGAGAACTGTGGGTGTAGGTGTCTGGTCATGTGGGATTGCTATGAGGAATGATGAAAAATGAAGCAAGCTACTGTGTCAATGGTGAAAGCATCGCTTTGACTGGGTTTGGGTCATTGACTTGATTTCTGATCGATCCCACAAGCCTCTGCATCTCTGCGCCATTTTCTCTATGTCTGTCAGTCACGTGTAAAGCATTCTAACACAGACCAGTTGCTTACCAGGCCTCCTGGGTACATAAAAATAGGGAGGTAGCTTTGATGTAGCTTTTGTTAATCTTTAGGTAGATCTCAGGGCCAGGAACAGAGTTCACATGGATGTGGTAAAATGCCTGTCTTTCCTTTTACTGCTGGGTTTATTACCACCGGGGTTTGTTAATTCCTCCTTGGTTCCTGTTTATTTAGCCTAAACATGCATTGCTAACGAAACTTTGATTCTCACTGTGATCTGTTATATTGTGTTAGTATGGATGTTGGGAACCTGGGTTACGTGTAGCCATGTTTCAATTTATGTTCTAGTTTAGGAGCTGTATCTTCATGATTTATGTATTAGCTGTCCTTCTGTCCCAGTGGGGGACGGCATCTTACAAAACCATCAGTTTCCTAGAGCTGCCAACTCGGCTCCACGGTGTTCCGTTTGGGTGATGGCGTTACCCCAGCGATGTGCTCATTCAAAGGGTGACAATTTCAGTGTTCCCTTTGGGTAACAACGAATTCTGGGCAGGGAAGTTGGGAGAGCCTCTGTCTATTTCAACACAATCTCCGGAGTGCTAGCTTTGTCCACTCCCTCCAATAACCAGAGCCACCTTCAGGCTCCTCTCATCATCTCATGCTCCCGTGGTGGCCAGCTTGGCGGGCTGCCAACTCCGCTCTACGGTGTTCCGTTTGGACAATGGAGTTACCTTTCAGATGTTCTCTGCAATACAGGCATGGAGGGTTGTGAAAGCAAACCTCAAATCTGTGTAGAAGATAAACATTGCCTTCAAGGTGTATACATTCTCTTTTCCATCAATTTCTTTTTCTGCAAAGCATTCCAAATCTCTGCCCCCAGCCTCCATACTGGTTGCATCCCAGTCTCTCCCCTTTTTCTCCTGGGGTTCCAAGTTCCCCCACGTCCTCACAATGTCGGGGCTCCTACTGCAGTTGCTGCTGCCAAGAGCCTCGCCTTTTCCATTCCCAACATCCCATTCTTCACGTGCCACCCTCATTCCACGTCACGTACACCTTCATCTTCATTGCCACATCCAGCAACTGTACTCTCTTCACATGTTCACTGGGCGTTTGGAGCCAGGCTCCCCAGGGGTCGTGAGGCCCCCCCAGTCCCTCTTGCTTGGATTATTGCGCAAAAAAGGGGCTACATGGCAAAATAGAGACTCGAAATGAGAAAAACTGCACTACAAGGGGTTCAAGTTGCCATGGCTGCAAACTGCAGGGGGGGAAATGAGACAAGGTGTACAGGTAATGGACAGGTGCGCCTGCTTCAAAAGCCAAGGCTACAAAGGTGTACAGAAATGCAAAAATAAGTAAGGTGACAGTTAAAATGAATGCAGCTGTGTACAGGTAAACAACAGATGAGGCCTGCTACAGCAAGCCAAGGCTACAAAGGTGTACAAACTGAGAAAATAAGTAAGGTAACAGTTAAACCAGTACAATCCAGTAAAGAAGACCTGTAGCCCTTTTGAACCAGTGGGAAAACATGAGAAGCCTATGTGCAAAAGCTTATAGAGGTGGCCTGTCAGAAGGCCTATAGCCTTAGCAGAAAGCGGTGGGGAAAGCTATAGTTCACCAGGTCTTCCCCCCTTTTTTTGAAACAAGGCCTGGGAATTCAGTAAAAAAGATGAATGCAAGGAACAATCAGGGAAAGAAAGCAAAATATAAGAAGATACAATTCTTACTACAGTGGTACCTCTGGTTCAGAACTTAATTTGTTCCGGAGGTCCGTTCTTAACCTGAAACTGTTCTTAGCCTGAGGTACCACTTTAGCTAATGGGGCCTCCCACTACCGCCATGTGATTTCTGTTCTCATCCTGAGGTAAAGTTCTTAACCTAAGGTAATATTTCTGGGTCAGCAGAGTCTGTAACCTGCAGCGTCTGTAACCTGCAGCGTCTGTAACCTGAAGCGTCTGTAACCTGAAGCGTCGTCTGTAACCCGAGGTACCACTGTACTAGCTAGGGAACACAAAGAAGGAAACTTCAGCTACAGCCCATTCCCAGGCCTCAATGCAAACCACACAGAAAGGGAAAGAGTTTGCTGAGGGAGAAGCCACACACCCACACAGCTATTGTGTGCTATACGTTCAGGGGTGCAGAATAAAACAAAAAGGGGTGCAAAGAGGCCAACCAGTTAAAGAAGAAAGAGAAACCAGCAGGCCGTCAGGAAGGCCTGGAGAAAGCAATGCGCTGGGGAAAGGGTTAAGCAATGTGCAACCAGGAAGGTAACAACAACAACAACGCATCTGGTCGGTTTTATTTATTTATATTTATTTCTATGTGCGCATGCAGACAGTCATTATTATCTCATATTAAAAATGGGGAGAGGGAACCTTCTGGAAAAAATGTATTTCCGAGGTTTGATGGCTCATGACACCACTTTGTTTTGGAGGAATACCAGTGCTTTTTTCTCTGTGGGGACGCAGGGGGACGCATACCCCTAAACATTTTGTTAATTTAACTGGAGAAGAAATTCACTGTATTTATTTTCCCAGATTTGAACTGTATTTCTTTTTCCCCAGTGGTGATTTTCTTGAGTCAAAATGAGAGTACCCTAAACATTTTTTTAGAAAAAAAGCACTGAGATATACCATAAAATCATGTATCAATGGAAAGAAAATTTAATGAGGAATGTAATGCAATAACTTTTATGAAGGATTACACTGGTCAACAACAAATTTGTTGTCTGCGTTTTTTCAGTTGGTTTAGGATGAATCTGATGCGCTGAATCCAAAAATCACATTGGTTTTGCTCAATTAGATCAAGTTTTTGAGCTATGGCCACATGTCTTTTTCTTACGTTTTTGTTCACATGTACGCTTGTGTGGAGCATTTTAGAAGAAGTTGGTGGGAGTAAAATGCCATGTCGAATAATTGTTTTGATTGGAAATGATTATTTTAATGACAAGAAGTATTCAGGTCCGATAGTTCTGGGTGATTATGTCGAAAAGGGATCAGTTTGAAGTCATAAAACCTCGAAATCTTCCATAAATTGGTGCGGCAAAGCATAAAGTTGCTTACCAAGCTTATTTTGGTATTAAACTTGGTGACCAGGATAAAGCTTGGGCGCCACACATGGTGTGCAAGGCATGCACTGAGACTCTACATGGGTGGACCAATGGCAAGAAGAGTCTGAACTTTGGAATTCCCATGGTTTGGAGGGAACCGACAAACCATGTCACTGACTGCTACTTCTGCGCTGTTGATGTGTCTGGGATCAACAGAAAGAACTGGAGCAGCCTCAAGTATCCTGATCTTCAATCTGTCGGGATTCAAGCCTATATAAGTAGTAACTGGCAACTCTCCAGGCATCCGGCTTGATCTCCTGTTGACCTCCCTGTCAGCATTCCTCAGCAAGATCCAGGCAGAGGTCGCAATAGGCGATCCTTCTCAGCGTGAGAAGAACACACCCCCTCTTTGTTGCCCCCCCGGCAGGGGAAAGAGATAGACAGAAACGTTTTTGCATGCCTTTATTTCTGTCTTTGCAGCGTTACAAAAAACATGACTGCTCTCTTCAAACTCCAGCAGTCGAGAGACAAAAACTTCCTGTACTTCCTGTACAGCTCATATTACACTCTGAGCTAATTCCGGTGCTTCGCACTGTGAATTGACTGTCCCTCTGTTTCCCACGGACAGTCCCAACATCATGTGGTGTTTTCAAGCTAGCAGCTCGCAGCTACATTGCTTCTATATCATAACACAATCAGCACGTCGTGCTGTAGCTCATTGTGATGAAATTCCAGTGCCTATCTTCAGAGAACTTCCTGACATTAGTGACGAAGATGCCTCCAGTGTTGAAGGACATGAAGAAGAAGAAGTGGTTCTTGAAGATGATGCTCCACATCCATTTTCGCAAAAGGAGTTGAATGATCTAGTTCACGACCTCAGCTTGTCAAAGGACTCTGCCAAACTGTTGGCATCCAGATTGAAGGAAAAAAACCTCCTTTCTGACAGTGCTCGCATCAGCTTCTTCCTCAACAGGCATCAAGAGTACCTCCGTTTTTTCTTGGAAGAGAAGGACTTGGTGTACTGTGCAGATATTGCGCAGCTTCTGCTCAAGCTTGGAGTGCCACAGTACGAACCCAAAGATTGGAGACTGTTCATTGACAGCAGCAAGCGATCACTGAAATGTGTTCTGCTACACAACGGCAACCAGTTTGCCTCTATACCCCTGGCTCACTCGACTACACAACGGCAACCAGTTTGCCTCTATACCCTGGCTCACTCGACTACACTGAAGGAGAACTATAAAGCAGTGAAGTATGTGCTGGAGAAAATTGGTTATGATCAGCATAAGTGGTTTATTTTTGTTGACCTGAAGATGGTGAACTTTTTGTTGGGACAACAGTCTGGCTTCACCAAGTACCCATGTTTTCTGTGCATGTGGGATAGTAGGGACCGTGCTCAGCATTACATGAAGGACTGGCCTGTGCGGGAGGAATTGGTGCCTTGCAAAGAAAGGAACGTCATCAACAACCCTCTTGTGGACAGAGACAGAATACTCATCCCACCGCTGCACATCAAGCTCGGCTTAATCAAGCAGTTCACCAAGGCTCTGGACAAGGATGGTGACTGCTTCACTTACTTGTGCCAGGCTTTTCCAGGATTGACCATGAATAAGTTGAAAGCTGGCATCTTTGACGGTCCTCAGATCCATCAGCTCATCAGAGACCCAGAGTTCGGAAACTCAGTGAACGAAGTGGAACTGGAAGCATGGAAGGCATTTGTTCTGGTAGTGAAGAACTTTCTTGGCAACAATAAGGCCAGAAACTACGCAGAACTTGTCAACAACATGCTGACTGCTTTCAGAAACCTGGGCTGCAACATGAGCATCAAGATGCACTACCTATTTTCACATGTGGACCGGTTTCCTGAGAACCTGGGTTCAATGAGTGACGAGCAGGGGGAGAAATTCCATCAGAACATGAAAGAGATGGAGACCAGGTATCAGGGTCGCTGGGACACAGTCATGATGGCTGACTACTGTTGGACTCTGAAGAGAGACCTCCCTGCCGCTGAGCATTCCAGGAAGTCCAAGAAATGGAAGTTCAAGCCCTGAAGTTTGAAAAATGGTGACGCAACATGCAGTTTACGTGTACTTACCTTTATCAATGCCCACCATTCAGTTTACAGTAATCGATGTTTCTGTCAGGTAATCAATATATGTTGTTGGGAAAACATTTTTTTCTCTTAAAAACATATTTAGGATGATATGTGTTATGTACTGAGTTGAATAGGCTCCAAACTGCAGCAGTCTGATTGGTCCTAGAACAATAGGATTCAGAATGCAGCAGTCTGATTGGTCCTAGAACAAGGCAGCAGTATGATTGGACGGCAGGAGCCACCCAATCCAGCTCCAGATAGAAGTGAATCCACAACCTGATTGGCCTACAGGAGAAGTCCGGAATTAGCCAATCACGTGCAGCCCATTGTGTAAATAATGTATATAAAGCAGATACTTTGAGGGGACATTCATTCCCTCCTCACCACTAAGAGCTGAATAAAGAGCATGAAATCACTTTGCGACTCTGAGTATATTTCACTGGCGACGAAGGTGGGATCCCGCTGAGCTGACCGCCACACACAGCACTGCAGCACCGCCACCTGCCGCACCGCTGCCTCGCACCGTGTATCCAGGCTTCAGCTCCAGGACACAAGGAACTCAGAATGGCAACCGACAGCAGCTTCTCGCCGTTCAACCCAGCATCCGGAGACTGGGAAGCGTACGCCTCCCGCTTCACCTTCCTCCTAGAAGCCAAAGGGGTCACCGACGAAGAAGACACCAAGAAGAGGGCGATATTCTTCAGCGTCTGCGGAGAGGAGACGTTTGAAATCGCCCAGGCTCTCCTTGCGCCTGAAGACATCGCTACTGTTCCATACAAAACAATAATGGAACAGTTGAAGGGGCACTTTTCGCCGCAGCCCTCAGTGGTGGCTCGTCGAAATGCCTTCTACACAAAGCGGCAAGCCCCTGGGGAAACCATAACTGGGTTTGTGACCTCTCTCCGCCAAGCCGCCGGGTTCTGCAACTTCTCAGAGTTGGAGAACATGCTTCGTGACCGCCTTGTCGGTGGCCTGAAGGATGAGAAGCTGCAACGACGCCTCTACGCTAAGAAGGACCTAATGTTCCAGGTCGCTCTGGAGGTGGCCCTGGCAACGGAAGCTGCCAAGAGGTCGACGCAAGAGGCACGGCCGAGCCTGCTGTCCCAACCGAGGGTCCACCATGAAGACCTCACCGACGACTCAGGATCTGACAGGGAGGAGGTGCACCGACTACAGCAGCGCACTCAAGCAGCACACATACCACAGCTGCCTCGACGAGAAGGAGGGAACTGCGCAAGCTGCGGGGAAAGTCACGAGAGGAGGACCTGCCGTTTCCGCAACGCAGAGTGCAGGCAGTGCAGAAAATCGGGACACATCGCTCGGGTGTGTCGGGCTCGGCCCACCCGACGCCAGGTATCAGATGACCAATCCAAGAGCCCCAGGTCCCAGGGCCCAACGCACCAAGGCAACTCGACGGAGCTCACGGACTTCCAGGTATACCAGTTGCCCCACCCCAACGTAGAGAAAATTTATGTAGAGGTACAGATAAAGGGGGCCCCGTGCCGCATGGAGCTTGACACGGGTTCAACTCTATCCATAATCTCGACAAGGACCTTAAGGAAACTGTGTCCTACTGGGGGTCCCAAACTCAGGCTGGCCCCATTCACCCTCCAGGACTTCCAGAAACATAAGGTCCCCACAATGGGGGTGGGGAACTTCAGGGTGCAATATCAAGGGCGGACGCGGCAACTGGACTTGCTTGTGGTCAAGGGCCCCTACATTAGCTTACTGGGATTGGCATGGTTTGGACCACTGGGGCTAGCCATCACCGGGGTGAACCGCACTAGCTTACAAGTGGACGTGGACGCCATATGCAAGGAATTTCCGGGGGTTTTCGATGGGAAATTGGGACAGTATACACCCCCCCATTGCTCTACAGCTTGACCCCGCAGTACGACCTGTCAGGCTCAAGGCCCGCCGGGTCCCGTTCGCCCTGAAACCCCGTATAGACATGGAATTGGACCGACTCGTGGAGCAAGGAGTGCTGGAGCCGGTGCCTAATGCCCCCTGGGAAACCCCAATCGTCACACCCGTCAAGCCTAATGGTTCGGTCCGCATCTGCGCAGACTACAAATGTACCATAAACAAGGCCCTCACGGCCCACGCATACCCAGTGCCAGTGGTCAGCCATGTCCTTGCCACTCTGGCTGGGTCAAAAATCTTTGGCAAGCTGGACTTGGCCCAAGCATATCAACAGCTGCCAGTAGATGAGGCCACAGCAGAGGCACAGACGATTGTGACGCACAGAGGAGCGTTCAGGGTAAAGCGGCTGCAATTCGGTGTCAGCGTGGCACCAGGCATATTCCAGAATCTAATGGACTCTCTCCTTAAAGGGATTCCTGGCGTCACCCCCTTCTTCGATGATGTGTTGATTGCTGGGCCCACACCAGAGGAGTTTGAGGACCGCCTCCGCACCGTTCTGCACCGTTTCCAGACGGCGGGTCTCAAGGTGAAGCGGGAAAAATGTCTACTAGGAGTGCCTCAGGTGGACTTTCTGGGATTTATGGTGGACGTAGAAGGGGTCCACCCGACTGGGGACAAGGTACGGGCCATTTGTGATGCCCCAGCGCCCAAGAGCAAGACTGAACTTCAGGCCTTCTTGGGACTATTGAACTTTTACCAATCCTTCCTTCCCCACAAGGCGGCAGTAGCGGAGCCCCTACACAGACTCCTGGACAAGCAGGCCCCTTGGGTGTGGGGCCAGCGCCAGGAGGCCACATTCCAGGCAGTCAAGAACTTGCTTGTCTCAAACTCGGTCTTGGCACACTTCGACGAGAGGCTGCCGGTGGTGCTAGCATGCAACGCCTCGCCCTATGGCATTGGCGCTGTCCTGGGACACCAACTCCCGGATGGAAGAGAGGTACCAGTGGCATACTTTTCCCAGACACTCAACGCAACCGAGCGGAACTACTCAACAAGGAGGGTCTGGCAATCGTGAAGGGAGTAAAAAAATTCCATGATTTCTTGTATGGGCGGCCCTTTACCGTGGTGACTGACCACAAGCCGTTGCTTGGCTTGTTTGCCCCCAAAAAGCAGACCCCCCAAGTACTGTCTCCTCGCATCCTCAGGTGGTCAATTTTCCTTGCCAGCTACCAGTATGCACTGATTCACCATCCTGGGAAGGCGATGGGCCATGCAGACGCCCTCAGCAGGCTACCACTACCGAAAACAGGCCCTGACCCAGCACCTGCACAAGAGGTTATGAGCCTGGAGCTGCTTCCCGACCGCCCTATTCAGGCACAAGAGGTTGCACACAATTCCAAGAAAGATAGGATCATCTCCCAGGTCCTGGACTGGGTGTGGAGGGGATGGCCCAGCAGCAGCCCCGGGCCAGAATTCACCAGCTACACAACCCGCAAACATGAACTGTCGGCCCACAAGGGGTGCCTGTTATGGGGAAGCAGGGTCGTTGTTCCCCAGCCCCTCCGCAAAAGGGTCCTCACAGCCCTACACGAGACACCCAGGGGTAGTGAGAATGAAGGCCCTTGCCAGGAGTTATGTGTGGTGGCCGGGGATCGATGGAGAGATAGAGGCCTGGGTCAAACACTGCCAGGCCTGCCAGGAATCCCGCCCAGATCCCCCAAGGGCCCCAGTCCAGTCCTGGGAGTCCGCCCGAGCACCATGGTCACGCCTGCATGTGGACTTCACTGGCCCCTTTCAGGGGAAAACATTCTTCATAGTGGTGGACTCCTACACCAAATGGCTGGAAGTCGCACTGGTACCGTCCACTTCATTCCTCCTCACCACTATGAGCTGAATAAAGAGCATGAAATCACTTTGCGACTCTGAGTATATTTCACTGGCTGTGATGGGGCCGTTCGGTCTGGTGCAACCGGCTCGCTCAGTCGTGGTTCTGGTTCCGGTGTCCTTTCGGCCTCACGGGTCCTCTCTGTATTTACTGATTCCGCCTCTCCTGCTGGCCCCTCCTGCTCTATGGGCCTCACTGCCCCGCTGTTCCCTTGGGACTCCTCTGACCTGTCCTCCTCCTGGTTTTCTCCCGGGAATCGTCGCCGTATCTGGTCGCAGTGGCGGCGCCAGCATTGCCCCCCATCCGGTAGCGCCTCGTACGACACGGGGCCAGTGACCCTGGTGACTGTGGCGGGTACCCGTGCTGGGCCTGCCCCAAAATTCTTTGCGTACACTGGGTCCTGCGCCTCAAAGGTCCGGGGGTTCCTGCCTTCCCCCACCACTACCTCATCCTGAGCTCTATTGGGGTGAAGGCGGTCCAATCTGATTGCAAGGCACCGACCCATTAGTAGTTCAGCAGGGCTCCGGCCAGTCGTTGAGCTGGGGGCGCTGTGCTGTGCTAGAAGGAATGTGGCAAGGCGGTACTCCCAGTCCCCTTGCGTCATGCGGCGAAGGGTGTCCTTGGTGGTCCGCACCATGCGTTCTGCCTGGCCATTGGTGGCAGGGTGGAACGGCGCCCAACGGATGTGGCGGATGGCGTTCTGCGCTGTGAAGGTTTGGAATTCTCCTGACGTAAATGCGGTCCCATTGTCTGAGACGAGAGTGTCAGGGAGCCCGTGGGTTGCAAACAGCCTGCGTAGTACCCGGATGGCTGCGGATGTGGAAGTGGACGGTACCAGTGCGACTTCCAGCCATTTGGTGTAGGAGTCCACCACTATGAAGAATGTTTTCCCTGAAAGGGGCCAGCGAAATCCACATGCAGGCGTGACCATGGTGCTCGGGCGGACTCCCAGGACTGGACTGGGGCCCTTGGGGGATCTGGGCAGGATTCTTGGCAGGCCTGGCAGTGTTTGACCCAGGCCTCTATCTCTCCATCGATCCCCGGCCACCACACATAACTCCTGGCAAGGGCCTTCATTCTTACTACCCCTGGATGTGTCTCGTGTAGGGCTGTGAGGACCCTTTTGCGGAGGGGCTGGGGAACAACGACTCTGCTTCCCCATAACAGGCACCCCTTGTGGGCCGACAGTTCATGTTTGCGGGTTGTGTAGCTGGCGAATTCTGGCCCGGGGCTGCTGCTGGGCCATCCCCTCCACACCCAGTCCAGGACCTGGGAGATGACCCTATCTTTCTTGGAATGGTGTGCAACTTCTTGTGCCTGAATGGGGCGGTCGGGAAGCAGCTCCAGGCTCATAACCTCTTGTGCAGGTGCTGGGTCAGGGCCTGTTTCTGGTAGTGGTAGCCTGCTGAGGGCGTCCGCATGGCCCATCGCCTTCTCAGGTCAGTGAATCAGTGCATACTGGTAGCTGGCAAGGAAAATTGACCACCTGAGGACGCGAGGAGACAGTACTTGGGGGGTCTGCTTTTGGGGGGCAAACAAGCCAAGCAACGGCTTGTGGTCAGTCACCACGGTGAAGGGCCGCCCGTACAAGAAATCATGGAATTTTTTTACTCCCTTTACGATTGCCAGACCCTCCTTGTCGATTTGCGAGTAGTTCCGCTCGGTTGTGTTGAGTGTCTGGGAAAAGTACGCCACCGGTACCTCTCTTCCATCCGGGAGTTGGTGCCCCAGGACAGCTCCAATGCCATAGGGTGAGGCGTCGCATGCTAGCACCACCGGCAGCCTCTCGTCGAAGTGTGCCAAGACCGAGTGTGAGACAAGCAAGTCCTTGACTGCCTGGAATGCAGCCTCCTGGCGCTGGCCCAACACCCAAGGGGCCCGCTTGTCCAGGAGTCTGTGTAGGGGCTCCGCTACCGCCGCCTTGTGGGGATGGAAGGAATGGTAAAAGTTCAATAGTCCCAAGAAGGCCTGAAGTTCAGTCTTGCTCTTGGGCGCTGGGGCATCACAAATGGCCCGTACCTTGTCCCCAGTCGGGTGGACCCCTTCTGCGTCCACCATAAATCCCAGAAAGTCCACCTGAGGCACTCCTAGTAGACATTTTTCCCGCTTCACCTTGAGACCCGCCGTCTGGAAACGGTGCAGAACGGTGCGGAGGCGGTCCTCAAACTCCTCTGGTGTGGGCCCAGCAATCAACACATCATCAAAGAAGGGGGGTGACGCCAGGAATCCCTTTAAGGAGAGAGTCCATTAGATTCTGGAATATGCCTGGTGCCACGCTGACACCGAATTGCAGCCGCTTTACCCTGAACGCTCCTCTGTGCGTCACAATCGTCTGTGCCTCTGCTGTGGCCTCATCTACTGGCAGCTGTTGATATGCTTGGGCCAAGTCCAGCTTGCCAAAATTTTCGACCCAGCCAGGGTGGCAAGGACATGGCTGACCACTGGCACTGGGTATGCGTGGGCCGTGAGGGCCTTGTTTATGGTACATTTGTAGTCTGCGCAGATGCGGACCGAACCATTAGGCTTGACGGGTGTGACGATTGGGGTTTCCCAGAGGGCATTAGGCACCGGCTCCAGCACTCCTTGCTCCACGAGTCAGTCCAATTCCTCGTCTATATGGGGTTTCAAGGCGAACGGGACCCGGCGGGCCTTGAGCCTGACCGGTCGTACTGCGGGGTCAAGCTGTAGCGCAATGGGGGGGCCCGTATACTGTCCCAATTTCCCATCGAAAACCCCTGGAAATTCCTTGCATATGGCGTCCACGTCCACTTGTAAGCTAGTGTGGTTCACCCCGGTGACAGCTAGCCCCAGTGGTCCAAACCATGCCAATCCCAGTAAGCTAATGTAGGGGCCCTTGACCACAAGCAAGTCCAGTTGCGGCGTCCGCCCTCGATATTGCACCCTGAAGGTCCCCACCCCCATTGTGGGGACCTTATGTTTCTGGAAGTCCCGGAGGGTGAATGGGGCCGGCCTGAGTTTGGGACCCCCAGTAGGACACAGTTTCCTTAAGGTCCTTGCCGAGATTATGGATAGAGTTGAACCCGTGTCAAGCTCCATGCGGCAAGGGGCCCCCTTTATCTGTACCTCTACATAAATTTTCTCTACGTTGGGGTGGGGCAACTGGTATACCTGGAAGTCCGTGAGCTCCGTCGAGTTGCCTTGGTGCGTTGGGCCCCGGGACCTGGGGCTCTTGGATTGGTCATCTGATGCCTGGTGTCGGGTGGGCCGAGCCCGACACACCCGGGCGATGTGTCCCGATTTTCTGCACTGCCTGCACTCTGCGTTGCGGAAACGGCAGGTCCTCCTCTCGTGACTTTCCCCGCAGCTTGCGCAGTTCCCTCCTTCTCGTCGAGGCAGCTGTGGTCTGTGCGCTGCTTGAGTGCGCTGCTGTACTCGGTGCACCTCCTCCCTGTCGGATCCTGAGTCGTCGGTGAGGTCTTCGTGGTGGACCCTCGGTTGGGATGGCAGGCTCGGCCGTGCCTCTTGGGTCGACCTTTCGGCAGCTTCTGTTGCCAGGGCCTCCTCCAGAGCGACCTGGAACGTTAGGTCCTTCTTAGCGTAGAGGCGTCGTTGCAGCTTCTCATCCTTCAGGCCACCGACAAGGCGGTCACGAAGCATGTTCTCCAGCTCTGAGAAGTTGCAGAACCGGGCGGCTTGGCGGAGAGAGGTCACAAACCCAGTTATGATTTCCCCAGGCGCTTGCCGCTTTGCGTAGAAGGCATTTCGACGAGCCACCACTGAGGGCTGCGGCGAAAAGTGCCCCTTCAGCTGTTCCATTATTGTTTTGTATGGAACAGTAGCGACGTCTTCAGGCGCAAGGAGAGCCCGGGCGATTTCAAACGTCTCCTCTCCGCAGACGCTGAAGAATATCGCCCTCTTCTTGGCGTCTTCTTCGTCGGTGACCCCTTTGGCTTCTAGGAGGAAGGTGAAACGGGAGGCGTACGCTTCCCAGTCTCCAGATGCTGGATTGAATGGCGAGAAGCTGCTGTCGGTTGCCATTCTGAGTTCCTTGTGTCCTGGAGCTGAAGCCTGGATACACGGTGCGAGGCAGCGGTGCGGCAGTTGGCGGTGCTGCAGTGCTGTGTGTGGCAGTCAGCTCAGCGGGATCCCATCCTCGTCGCCAGTGAAATATACTCAGAGTCGCAAAGTGATTTCATGCTCTTTATTCAGCTCATAGTGGTGAGGAGGAATGAATGAATGTCCCCTCACAGTATCTGCTTTATATACATTATTTACACAATGGGCTGCACATGATTGGCTAATTCTGGAATTCTACTGTAAGCCAATCAGGTTGTGGATTCACTTCTATCTGGAGCAGGATTGGGTGGTTCCTGCCAACCAATCATACTGCTGCATTGTTCTAGGACCAATCAGACTGCTGCATTCTGAATCCTATTGTTCTAGGACCAATCAGACTGCTGCAGTTTGGATCCTATTCAACTCAGTACATAACAGCCAGCATCCTTGGAACATGAGCCAGAACCTGAACCCCGGACCAGGGAACACCACAGGCCGCAACGCACACGTAGGCCGCCGGCGTACCTCGAGGACTATGAATGCGACCTCCCGGGCAGGAATGGAACTTAGAGGGGAGGGGTGTTATGTACTGAGTTGAACAGGATCCAAACTGCAGCAGTCTGATTGGTCCTAGAACAATAGGATCCAAAATGCAGCAGTCTGGTCCTAGAACAATGCAGCAGTATGATTGGTCGGCAGGAACCACCCAATCATGCTCCAGATATAAGTGAATCCACAACCTGATTGGCCTACAGGAGAAGTCCGGAATTAGCCAATCACGTGCAGCCCATTGTGTAAATAATGTATATATAGCAGATACTTTGAGGGGACATTCATTCCCTCCTCACCACTATGAGCTGAATAAAAAGCATGAATGTGTTGACAAAAATCAGCTGATGCCACAAAAATGTAATCAATTCAAATCAACATAGCACAAAAACCTGACCTGATGGAGAGAAACAGATGCCATTTCCTGATTCAGCAGTGCAAAAATACCCTAAAGCAGTTGTAGAAATCTAGACAACATTCAAAAAGTAAAAAATTGTTGCCCAGTGTTATTTATTACAACAGCAGTCATAAAGAAGAAACGTGAAAACACAGGAAAAATGAGATATGCAGGTTAAATTGCCGTGTTGACCCTTTGCGATAAAATCAATGGGTTTGGGGTTGCAGTTTGGGGACTCGTTTTGTAAAAGGTTCGCCATCACTGCGCTAGAAGGAAAGGAAAGTGGAGGGGGCGTCCCCCAAAAAGCATCTCTGGAAGTGTGGGGAAAGAAAGAAAAACGCGGAGGGGAGAGATGGGCACGCTGGGCTTGGCAAGGGTTAAAGGAACCGAGCCGCCTTCCTAGAGAGGCCAGGAAGCAAGGTCCTCCAGAGCCAAGCCCCCTCCCTCCCCAGTCCTTTCCTGCTTCGCTGTCCCCTCCTGGGATCTGGTGAGTCTCCTCAATCTCTGGGATCTGGTGGGGGTCCCAGGGCTGCAGCAAGGGAGGAGGCAGGGGGGGCCTGATCTGCTCCTGCAGGGGGGGGACCCCAAGTCAGGGAGGAGAGGGTCCTGCCAGGGAGGGGCCAGGTCTGCCACGCTCTCCTTCCTGCAGATCAGAGGATCCCAAACTCATTTGGCCCTCCGCCCCCCCCTTCAGAAAAGATCTCCCTTCTTTAAACAAAGGAGTCCCTGGGACTTTAACTCTGTGTGACATCGCTCAGCCTCATTGCACAACAGAGGAAATATGTGCAAATGGTTTTCCAAAGCTGGACGGGGAGGTGGACTAGACCCCCCCCCAAAAAAAGGTGGGAGAGAAAGGCCAGAAATAAAGAGAGGGATCCCAGCCCAGAGTCCGGTGGCTGCATTGGGGACCAGTTTTCAAGGGCAGCTCGCCACGGAGGCCACTGCAGCAATCCCCTCGTGTTAAGCTATCTAATAGAATAATCATAATAAATTACCTGCCTAAATTTCAAGGGAGAGGTATTTGGCCCCGGCCACTTGGCCCTCAGGGGGTTGGCCAGGTGCATACCTGGCCCTCAGACCACAGAAAAAGGGAGCCCACCCCAGGAGTCTGCCTGGAGAGCGGCGGAGAGTCCAAGTGCTAGAAATGGAGACAGAAGCGGGGGAGTGGGGGTGGGGGGAGGAACTCCTGAGGACCCCCGGGTGAGGACCCCCACTAGAGCCAAGCATTCATTTTCCACAAGATACAAATAACTCCCTTGTCAGTCAGTTTTGACTTCATGCATTGACTGGACGGCAGGAGAAACCAGGCTGATTCATCTCCCAGAAATCCCTTCAGTTGCCTCCACATTTTGCATTGCAATCTTCCTTCTAGGACAGCTAGGGTCTGCTTTCTTCTTCTTCTTCTTCTTCTTCTTCAGATAGCTCATGGTATGGGCTGTGGTGCAGTCCAGCCCTGGTTCCCTCCAAGACTCATCCATGCTTGCTCGGGATCCTGTTCCTTCTTCTGACCTACATATTCTGTAACAAAACAATGTGTTTGCTTGGTAGGATTTGCTAGAGCTTCTCATTTAGACGGACAGAACTTGGCAGAAGACCAAAGGGTTCCTTCTGACCTTTCTGAGGCTTCCTGACAGCACAGATGGATGAGCGAGACTCAGCTGGCCCTGGAGCAGGAGGAGGTGATGCCATCCAAACTGGGAGCAGTGGGGGGTTATGGGAAAACTCTGTGCAGAAGATCCATGGTGAGGTGGACACCCTCCGCTCAGAGGTGCAGAGCCAGCAGTTGAGGCAGTCCTGCTGCCAGGAGGCCAAAGGACCCCGAGAGGTTTGCAGCCGACTCTACCACCTTGACCATCAGTGGCTGAAGCCAGAAAGGCACACGAAAGCTGAGATGCTGGACCTGGTGATCTTGGAGCAGTTCCTGGCTGTCCTTCCACCGGAGATGGAGAGCTGGGTGAGGGACTGTGGAGCGGAGACCAGTTCGCAGGCGGTGGCCCTGGCCGAAGGTTTCCTCCTGAGTCAGGCAGAGGAGAGGAAGCAGGTGAGAGAGACTTTCCTCTGGATACTCCCAAGGGGCTCCAAACAGGACAGAGAACATCCCATAATGGTCTGCTGATGGCCCATCCTTTTTCTGGGAAGGCATCCATGGAATGAGATCTCGTACTCTTCAAGTCTTTGTCATTCTCTTTCTAGTATTTCTCACCATTCTCTGTTTTGAATCCTTGTTTCTTTTTCAGGGAAAGGATCTCTTTGCAGAAATGGACCTGGATTCCTGTGAGGCAGAGAGGCCTCCGTTGGACACCAGAGAGAGGCCACTGGGTAAGGAGGCAGGTGGTTTTTCTCTGCGTGGTCTCATTCTGTTGGTTTTCCAACTCATCTGAGGATTCCTTTCATCTTGTTTTGGGGGGAGACAGTTGGGAACAAGGGTCCAGAAGAGGGGAGATGTATTTCTGCACAAACAAACATATTAAATGGGCACAAACGTCCAAATACTCTCAGTAGGTAAGTCTTTCTCAAAGGCCCATCTGTAGTTAGAGATGCCCTGTTTCACCTGTGAGAGAAGCAGGCACTCCTGGCGTCCTGCTTACCTTTTTTCTCTTGCAGGTGACAGAATGATGCCGGCAAGACCTCCTGATCCGCCTTTTCATGGGGGCAGAAGGGAAGCAGCGGCTGTGGAACCAGATCAGGTCAGGGGAAGCTGTCTTGTGGGGACAGAGGCCGAGGGATGGAGCAATGTCATCGACTGGTTGGGCACAGAGGAGTGGTGGGAGGAAGCAGCCGGGGAACCAGGAAGGGAAGATGGCTCAGAGCCCAAGGAGTGGAGGTGGAGGGAGGATGGGCGGTCAGAGGGAGAAGAGGGAGAAGCTGTTGCGTTCACAAAGTAAAGGAAGGCTTGAACTCTGATTAATAAGAATACACACAGAGACTTGAACCAGCAAGACTCTGGGAAGGGTGCGTATAATCGTGTCTCTCTGTGCTTGTCCATATGCAGCCCCTGGCCCAGGTAGTTTTATTCACAAAAAAGCTTTTTACAGAGTGTTCGAAAGAACCAATCAGATTTCTTCTGAGCATTTCAACAAACCCACGTGGGGACAAAGTTAAATCAAAATAAATTCTTTTAACTACAAAGACTACTACTCTGAGCATGCATACATAATCTGAGAGTAAATAAAAGAGGACTAGAGAAACTCCGGAGATCATAAACAGGAGTAAACAGGAGAGGATGGAAGGAGATAGGCATCTTTATCACCTTCCTGTGAAGCTATTTCCAGGCCCTAAGATCAACATATCAGAAAGCTACATCAAAGAAGCTTGCCCACTATCTTTAATGACCCAGGATGCCTGCCTGGCTAAGCAACTGGGCTGTGTACGTTGACTTGTGAAGTAGAGAGAAATGGGCAGTAGAGGAAATGGCCAGAGATGCAGAGGGTTGTGGGATTTGGTCAGAAATTATTGTCAATGTATCAAGCCCAGTCAACACAATGCTTTCATCGTGGACACAATGGCTTGATGTATATTTTATAATTCCTCATGGTAATCCCATCTGATCACTACAGAAGCCTGGGAAGAGGAGGTGTCAGAAGCTGAAGGGGTAACAGGGCTTAGTGAGCTGGGAGACTCTGTGGCAGAATGCAGTGCAGAATCAGAGGCAGAAGAGGAAGGAGGCCAGTGGGAGGAGGGAGGTCAAGAGGCTGAGGTGAGTCAGGAGAAGGAGGAGCCACCGGTGGCTCCCTCTCCTTCTGCCAGAAGCCACCCTCCCTGCTTGTCTCTCAGACCCAGGAGACCCCCTGCACTGCAGGAATCTCTGCTAGATCATCCAAGACAGATGGACATCCAAGATAGGCTTATTTTATTTCTAGATTGATCACTGAATGCTAAAATTGGTTTCTAAGCAGCGGACAAATGAGAACAAATAATGGCCTGGGTTCAACTAACCAGCCCCATCCACTGCAAAATGGGGACTGCCCCCCATTCCTCCCCCTCTCCATGCCCCCATGAACCCCTGGAATTTGGCTCTAGGGCATTGGGAGGGAACCTTCCCAGAACAGCTCACAAGGAGAGGAGAATGTGGATCCTTCCATCAGGCAAACTGGAACGCTTGCGAAGGCAGAATGACTTGAAAAACACAAGGCGGAGTAACACCTATTTGCACAAAGACGGATACCCATAGTTAAAATGCAGAATAAAAGAAGCACCCATAATTAAAATGTGCAGCAAAGCAATCCTATTGAAACAACACAGCAATTTACAGGAAGGAAACCACAGAGCATTGTGGAGCAGATCATATTTCTGCTGTCTCAGAGGAGGACATTTCCCTTTTTCTTTTAGGGTCCAGTGTGCTTTGAAGATGTCGCTGTTCGTTTCACGGACGAGGAGTGGGCGTTGCTGGATCCTGACCAGAGAGCTCTGCATAAGGACGTCATGGAGGAGAATCGTGGGATCGTGGCCTCTCTTGGTAAGGCTCCCTGTGGGATCGTCCTATCTGCCTGGAAATTCAAAAAATACCTCTATGTGATGAACCTCATATATTTTCACAGAGCTCAACAGCGCCCCCTACAACACCTGGGAACCTAACATCCCCACAAAAAATAGCAAATTATAGTCTTTTCTGTGAACAATCTTCCTCCAGTTCTGCCTCCTTCTACCACAGTTGGGCTGATCTGAACTGCCCAGGCATCTTAAATGTCAGCTTCAGAGTTGTTAGGAAAGATAAGTAGCTTCTGTCAGGTTTTCTGTTTTTGTTTTTGCTCCTGTCAATCTTGGGTTGACCAAAGAGACAACTGACATTGTGGATAGAGGGGAAGCCATGACTGGGCCAAACAAAATCCATCCCAGAGAAGAGGCAGGCTTTTCGAATCTCAGATAATAATAATAATAATAATAATAATAATTTGTTTATACCTTGCCCATCTGGCTGGGTTTCCCCAGCCACTCTGGGTGGCTCCCAACAGAATATTACAAGCACGACAAAACATCAAACTTTGACAATTCCCTAAACAGGGCTGGCTTCAGATGTCGTCTAAAAGTCTGATAGATGTTTATTTCCTTGACATCTGACGGAAGGGTGTTCCACAGGGCGGGTGCCACCACTGAGAAGGCCCTTTGTCTGGTTCCCTGCAGCCTCACTTCTTGCAGGCAGAGAACCGCCAGAAGGCACTCGGAGCTGGACCTCAGTGTCAGGACTGAATGATGGGGGTGGAGATTTTTTTTTTGGTATACTGGGCTTGACCGTTTAGCGCAGGGGTCAGCAAACTTTTTCAGCAAGGGGCCGGTCCACTGTCCTTCAAACTTTGATGGGGGCCGGACTATATTTTGAAGGGGGAGGGGACGAATTCCTATGCCCCACAAATAACCCAGAGATGAATTTTAAATAAAAGGACACATTCTACTCATATCAAAACACACTGATTCCTGGACCATCTGTGGGCCAAATTTAGAAGGCGATTGGACCCAGGCCTTAGTTTGCCTACTCATGGTTTAGGGCCTTAAAGGTCAGCACAAACACTTTGAATTCTACTCGAAAACATACTGGGAGCTAATGTAGGTCTGGTGTTATGTGGTCTCGATGGCCCCTCCCAGTTACCAGTCTAGCTGCCGCATTCTGGATTAGTTGTAGTTTCCGGGTCACCTTCAAAGGTAGCCCCACGTAGAGTTCATTGCAGTAGTCCAAGCGGGAGATAACTAGAGCATGCACCACTCTGGTGAGACAGTCCTTGGGCAGGTAGGGTCTCAGCTGGCGTACCAGATGGAGCTGGTAGGCAGGTGCCCTGGATACAAAATTGACCTGTGCCTCCATGGACAGCTGTGAGTCCAAAATGTCCTTCAGGGACACAGTTGCCACATTTTTAGTTTAGCCTCCAACACAGAAAAACATGAAACAATAATAATGTTCTGATCCAATATAAAAAGTACAATAACTTTAAAATGAACAATTTATATCAAACAAAGCCACATTAATAATCAATCAAAATCTAATAGTAATTATGTCGGTTAATGGCAAACAACAATGGTAATGAACACATACCCTACTCCATTTACTGTATTTTTCGCCCTATAGGGTGCACTGGCCCACAGGGCACACCTAGTTTTTTGGGGGGGAAATAAAGGGGGAAAAAATATTTGCAACCCTAGCCCCCAGAACAGGCTGCTATCCACAAGCCTTCGGAGCCCGCAGGAACTCCCGCGGGCTCTGAAGGCTTGCGGATAGCTTCCTGAAGCCTGGAGAGCGAGAGGGGTCCGTGCGCCCCGACCCCTCTCGCTCTCCAGGCTTCAGCGAAAGCCTGCATTCGTCCCATAGGATGCACACACATTTCCCCTTCATTTTTGGAGGGGGAAAAGTGCGTCCTATAGGGCGAAAAATGCGGTATTTCTTCCTCTAGCACAAATTCAATTAGCATCTTTCGATAACTGGGGCCTGCATTGGTTCCTGAGTCTGAATCCCTTTCTGTTTCCATTGCAGATTGTGAAGAATTGGAAATCAAGAAAAAGGGTGATCAAGACAAAATCCCCAGAGAGAAGCAAGGTAAAAATTTGGAGTGTGGAGAGAGCTGCAATCAGAGCTCCCATTACACTTTCCAACAAACAATTATCATTGAAAAGAAACCCTATCAGTGCATGGAATATAGAAAGAGCTTCCGTTACAGAAATAGTCTCACTTTTCATCAAAGAATTCATACAGGGGAGAAACCCTATCAGTGCGTGGAATGTGGAAAGAGCTTTACTGTGAAAAGAGATTTCCTAGTACATCAGAGGATTCACAGTGGAGAGAAACCATTTGAGTGTCAAGAATGTGGAAAGAGCTTCCGTAACAAAAGCACTCTCATTTCCCATCAAAGAATTCATACAGGGGAGAAACCCTATCAATGCTTTGAATGTGGAAGGAGCTTCAGTACCAGCTCCAATCTCACTTCCCATCAGAGAATTCATACAGGGGAGAAACCCTATCAGTGCATGGAATGTGGAAAGAGCTTCAGTCAGAGGGCCAATCTCACTTCCCATCAAAGAATTCATGCAGGGGAGAAACCCTATCACTGCTTTGAATGTGGAAAGAGCTTCAGAAGAAGCTGCTTTCTCACTTCCCATCAAAGAATCCATGCAGGTGAGAAACCCTATCAGTGTGCGGAATGTGGAAAGAGCTTCACTGATAGCTCCTCTCTCACTTCCCACCAGAGAATTCATACAGGGGAGAAACCCTATCAGTGTGCGGAATGTGGAAAGAGCTTCACTGATAGCTCCTCTCTCACTTCCCATCAGAGAATTCATACAGGGGAGAAACCCTATCAGTGTGTGGAATGTGGAAAGAGCTTCAGGAATAGCTCCAAACTCACTTCCCATCAAAGAACTCATACAGGGGAGAAACCATATCAGTGCATGGAATGTGGAAGGAGCTTCACACATAGCTCCTCTCTCACTTCCCATCAGAGAATTCATACAGGGGAGAAACCCTATCAGTGCTTGGAATGTGGAAAGAGCTTCAGACAGAGAGCCCATCTCACTTCCCATCAAAGAATTCATATAGGGAAGAAACCCTATCAGTGTGTGGAATGTGGAAAGAGCTTCAGTACCAGCTCCAATCTCACTTCCCATCAAAGAATTCATACAGGGGATAAACCCTTTCAGTGCTTGGAATGTGGAAAGAGCTTCAGTACCAGCTCCAATCTCACTTCCCATCAAAGAATTCATACAGGGGAGAGACCCTATCAGTGTGTGGAAAGTGGAAGGAGCTTCACTGTTAGCTCCTCTCTCACTTCCCATCAAAGAATTCATACAGGGGAGAAACCCTATCAGTGCTTTGAATGTGGAAAGAGCTTCAGGAAGAGCTATAATCTCACTTCCCATCAAAGAATTCATACAGGGGAGAAACCCTATCAGTGCGTGGAATGTGGAAAGAGCTTCAGTACCAGCTCCAATCTCACTTCCCATCAAAGAATTCATACAGGGGATAAACCATATCAGTGCTTTGAATGTGGAAGGAGCTTCAGGAAGAGCTCCAATCTCACTTCCCATCGAAGAATTCATACAGGGAAGAAACCCTATCAGTGCTTTGAATGTGGAAAGAGCTTCAGGGAGAGCTCCTTTCTCACTTCCCATCAAAGAATTCATACAGGGGAGAAACCCTATCAGTGCATGGAATGTGGAAAGAGCTTCTGTCAGAGATCCAATCTCGCTTTTCATCAAAAAACTCATAGTGAGGAGAATCATAGGATCATAGAATTGTGGAGTTGGAAGTGACCTCTGGTGTAATCTAGTCCACCCCATGTGAAGCAGGCATCGCAGCTAAAGCATCCATGACAGGTGACCATCCAACGTCATCAACTCTCAAAGGATGGAGATTCCAGCACCTTCCAAGGGAGTCCATTCCACTAACAGCTTTTGCTGTCAAAAGTTCTTCCTCATGTTTAGTCAGAAATCTCCGTTCTTTTAGCTTGAAGTCATTAGTTGATGTCCTACCCTCTGGAGCAGGAAGGAAAAAAGTTTCCTCTATCTTCCATTGTTTATAGTATTATTGTGTATTTTGTGTTTTTATAGTGTGATTTTATGTTGTGAACCCTCTGAGACCTGTGGGAATAGGGTGGTTTACAAATTCAATCAATCAACCAATCAATAAATCAATAGATTCTTGGTTGCCATCCTCTGTACATGTTTCAACTTGTTGATATCCTTTTTATTTATAAAAGTTATGTTTTGCCCTTCATCCGAAGATTTCAGTAATGGTTCTTCGTCATCTTGGGATGAAGTGACAAGTGAGGTGCCACAGGCTTTTGTCCTGGGCCCGTTGTTGCTCAACTTCTTTATAAAAAAAAATTGGGTGGGGGAATTCAGGGGATGCTGATGAAATTTTATGGTGAACCAAACTGGGAGAAGCAGCTAATGCCACAAAAGACAGAATTGGGATTCAAAACGACTTTAACGGGTTGGAGAACCGGGCCCAAGCTCACAAAATGAATTTCAGTAGGGAGAAAAGTAAAGCTTTGCACTTAGGCAGGAAGAACCAGATGCACCAATATAAGGCGGAGGTTTGATGGACAGCAGTGTCTGGGGATGCAGTGCCTGAGAATTCCACCAGAGGGCCAGAGCCTCTCTGATTGGCTACCTTGACCGCCAGCCAGAGGGAAGGGGATGGAGCCAGGACTTTGGGCAGGAAAATAAAGGGGAGAGAGTTGGAGAGGGCTGGATTTGAGATGGGAGAGAGGGTTGGATGGAGGGAGAACTGGCTCTGATCATCTTTGAGGAGAATATCTATAGAGCCAGGGGAGTATCTATAGAGTCAGACTTGTCAGTTTGCATTTCTTAGTACAGAAAGTATTGATCTGATGTGGAAAGATCTTTCCTATTCCAGTGAAATCAAGAGGGCTCTCGAAGCTTCTCTGTGTGTGAGAAACAAGAAGCACAAGGTTCCTGAAACGATTTTGAAAATGGATGCCGATTTCATGCTATTGCCGCTTCTTTAAGCCTGGAACAGTTTGATCATTTAAATAAGACCCTATATGCTTTGCTGTGTGTGCATAATGATTCGTTAAAAGAAATTTCTACAGCTATCTCTTGAATTACTTTGCAACAAATGGTTATCAGAAGAGTTTGGATTTGATACCCCGCTTTATCACTACCTCAAGGAGTCTCAAAGCGGCTAACATTCTCCTTTCCCTTCCTCCCCCACAACAAACACTCTGTGAGGTGAGTGGGGCTGAGAGACTTCAGAGAAGTGTGACTAGCCCAAGTTCACCCTGCAGCTGCATGTGGAGGAGCGGAGACGCTAACCCGGTTCCCCAGATTACGAGTCCACCGCTCTGAACCACTACACCACACTGGCTCTCTCTATATAAAGATTGCATTATTAGGTAATAATGCTAATTGTTGTTGTTTAGTCCTTTAGTCATGTCCGACTCTTCTTGACCCCATGGATCAGAGCACGCCAGGCACTCCTGTCTTCCACTGCCTCCCGCAGTTTGGTCAAACTCATGCTGGTAGCTTCGACAACACCGTCCAACCATCTCGTCCTCTGTCGTCCCCTTCTCCTTGTGCCCTCCATCTTTCCCAACATCAGGGGCTTTTCCAGAGATCTTCTCTTCTCATGAGGTGGCCAAAGTCTTGGAGCCTCAGCTTCACGATCTGTCCTTCCAGTGAGCACTCAGGGCTGATTTCCTTCAGAATGGAGAGGTTTGATCTTCTTGCAGTCCATGGGACTCTCAAGAGTCTCCTCCAGCAGCATAATTCAAAAGCATCAATTCTTTGGCAGTCAGCCTTCTTTATGGTCCAGCTCTCACTTCCATACGTCACTACTGGGAAAACCATAGCTTTAACTATGCGGACCTTTGTTGGCAAGGTGATGTCTCTGCTTTTTAAGTTGCTGTCTAGGTCTGTCATTGCTTTTCTCCCAAGAAGCAGGCGTCTTTTAATTTTGTGACTGCTGTCGCCATCTGCAGTGATCATGGAACCCAAGAAAGTAAAATCTCTCACTGCCTCCATTTCTTCTATTTGCAATGAGGGGATGGGACCAGTGGCCATGATCTTAGTTTTTTGGATGTTGAGCTTCAGACCATATTTTGTGCTCTCCTCTTTCATACTCATTAAAAGGTTCTTTAATTCCTCCTCACTTTCTGCCATCAAAGTTGTGTCATCTACATATCTGAGGTTGTTGATATTTCTTCCGGCAATCTTAATTCCGGCTTGGGATTCATCCAGCCCAGTCTTTCGCATGATGAATTCTGCATATAAGTTAAATAAGCAGGGATACAATATACAGCCTTCTCGTACTCCTTTCCCAATTTTGAACCAATCAGTTGTTCCATAACCAGTTCTAACTGTAGCTTCTTGTCCCACATAGAGATTTCTCAGGAGACAGATGAGGTGATCAGGCACTCCCATTTCTTTCAGAATTTGCCATAGTTTGCTGTGGTCGACACTGTCAAATGCTTTTGCGTAGTCAATGAAGCAGAAGTAGATGTCTTTCTGGAACTCTCTAGCTTTCTCCATAATCCAGCGCATGTTTGCAATTTGGTCTCTGGTTCCTCTGCCTCTTCTAAATCCAGCTTGCACTTCTGGGAGTTCTCGGTCCACAAAATGCTTGAGCCTACCTTGTAGAATTTTAAGCATAACCTTGCTAGCGTGTGAAATGAGTGCAATTGTGCGGTAGTTGGAGCATTCTTTGGCACTGCCCTTGTTTGGGATTGGGATGTAGACTGATCTTCTCCAATCCTCTGGCCACTGCTGAGTTTTCCAAACTTGCTGGCATATTGAGTGTAGTACCTTAACAGCATCATCTTTTAAAATTTTAAATAGTTCAGCTGAAATATCATCACTTCCTATGTTGTGAGTTGGGAATACTTCCTTTATCAGTAAGAGTATGGTTGAGAACCTTGAAATATTGGATCTTTCTGCATTATAGAGCCCTATCTCCTAACTCACTCCTTTACGACCTTTTAAGTGATAATGTAATTTACAAATAGGGCTCCATCTAATTGACGTCGAAAATTCTGACCCCAAAGATACTTGAGAAATTATCAGGAATAATTTTGACAGGAAAAAGTGTTCTCTCCACTCTTGAGGTTGCAAAGCACAGCACTTGCTCTCCTCTCTGTTTAAATCTCCCGTTGTGTAGAGATTTTCAAGAGGGTTACATAACAAATCTGAAGAATCATGAACTGTGCAGACTGTTTATGCTAGCCAGATTTAATATGTTTTAATATGTAAGAAGAAGATATTTAGCTCTCCCAGAAGCAGAGCGTCTCTGCAAATGTAGTAGGCAGGAACCTGATACATTGGAGCATATTTTCTATTCTTGTGATTTTGGCATTTATGCCAGAAGACAATTGTTAGAGGCCTTACAATCTAACAGGCTCGGTTCTATGCTGCCAATGGGTCAGGACCTGCTCTCGGACAGGAATGATCAAATCACTTTAATAGTGGCTAAATTTCTGAGTGCTGTTCATGTGGAAAGACTGGGCCATTATAGAGAGATTTAGTGGTTCTTGAATGGTCGATGATGTGGTAGTCTTATACTGTTTATTTATGCGAATTGTTATGCTGAATTCATATTTTCCACAATCTGTATACGGTGTTTGATTTATAATGTGTGGTTTGCTATGCCTAATAAAGGATTGATTGGTTGATATCATCATTTCCACTGGCCTTGTTATTAGCAGTGCTTTCTAAGGCCCATTTGACTTCACTCTCCAGGATGTCTGGCTCAAGGTCAGCAACCACACTACCTGGGGTGTATGAGACACTTCTGGTATAATTCCACAGAGGAATCATGGTCATATGTTTGTGCAAATAGGAAATCTTGAAAGTATATTACATACGGATTATTCTGAGTGGTTTAGATTAACTGATTACCTGATTATTAATGATGTATGGAAAGTAGAATTATCATCACTTGAACATAGTAGAATACCACAATATCTATGATGTGCGATGTTACGCCTTTACCTATGATTGTTAATGATATATTTTGGGTTCCTTATTTTCTTTCTCATAAGGTGTTATGTTCTAATGTTTTGAATCATAAGGATAATGTTATGATTGAAATCTCTAGGTGTGAAAAATGGGGGAAAGGATATGTCTGCCCACCACATTTTGGACAAAGTGAACCTTGTGTGTTTGATGTTAGTGATGGAATCTGTCAATTACAAAAGATGAGTAATGATACTTTTATTCAAGATACTGGGATTGGATGCTTACGTGTTACTACTGTGGACCCTGAATTGTGGTCAGATGGAACTCTCACTGGAATTGATAAACATCAGGAATGCAAATGTAACCTGTAGTGATGTTGGGAAATCTACATAACCTATGTGCAAAATTTGAGAACTGGAAATATTGTGTTGGAAACGATTAAGGATTCTGTGTATTTGCAATTAAACCTATCCAGTTTTGATATTTCTATAGGACCAGACTATCAGAAGTTAATGGCATTGTTTTTTCATAATGATCAAATACGAAAACACTTGGAACAACATGCTTAGAATACAAAAAAGGCATTTCTAAAAATACAATATGAAAATGGAAAATTTCAATGAATTGCTAATGAAGAATCTAGCCTTACTGAATATCATTGGTGGGATATATTTAAAGGCTATTCTCCAAAGACGTCTGCTTTCTTACATCTATTGAAACACCCTATTGTGATTATTCTGTTGATATTATTCAGTGTATTTGGATATGCATTTTGCTTAAACGCTTAAACAATCTGCAGAAACAATTGAATTCTGTCTTAGAATATTTGCATATTG